ACTTTTAAAAGTTTTCCATTCAATTTGTTAACTAATATCACGATAGTTAAGACTTTTGATTTTATTACTCACTCTACACTGATGTTGTTCAAGTTGAGGTCTCACTGTGCATTATCTTGCAGCACACAGCATGGTTTTCAAGGACAAATTATACTAATGATTATAATGCAGAGTGCATTGCTGGGGCATGTGGTGGGCACTGCCCTGGAAGACTGAGTCCCATGATAACAAGAACTAAGCAAGAAAGATCACCTGCTGGTGACACCTCTGTTACCTGCTTTTATGGAGATAAGAACTGTTGCAATTAACATGTTAATATTTGATTCATAACAACACCCCTACCTTGTGATAGCTATATTTGTGACCCAGATGTACACTGTAATTGCCATTTTAATTTGCTCAGCAATTTCTTTTCCTAGAGCGTCTAAGAAGGTAAACTGCTTTTATTCCCTCTATAATTCAAGCCCCCAAGAGCCCAAACCAACTGCTAAAATGTTGAGATTTCACTGGGTATGAGTGACTATGAAGGGGCAATAACTCTTAGATGTCTGGGAAGCTAGAGGAAGATGGTGCCCAACAATGTTACTACAAAATCATTCATCTGGGGTTCAGGCTCACAGGATCACATACTTATTTCTTCTCTCTCTCTCTCTCTCTCTCTCTCTCTGTCTCTCTTTCCCCTCCCAATCCCCAAGATAACACACCCACTGGAATCACTCACTGTAATGACTCTGAAGGGATAAGTTCCATTAACAAGAAGTGTCACAAGCTATTGTGACTATATCAGACTAGACTGGCTCTATGGGTGTGTGTGGGGGGGTGTAGAACTTTATCTCCCTGTATCCTGCCCTATTCTTTCTATTCTTTCTGTCTTGTCCTGTCCTGTTTTCTTTCATAGCACATATTAACTTCTGGCTACCATTTTGTTATTCTGTTTGTTCTGTTGCCTATCTGTCTTCATTACAATGCGGGCTTGATAAAGGCCCTGAGCACTGTACTTGGGAACTGCAATTATAATATAACAGCTAAGACCTTCCTCACCACAGAACAAGTGCTCAGAAATAGGTTGTTGAATGAATGGTAAATAAATAGGTGACTAATCTTGTAATCTAAATAATTCTATCAGCCCAGCAAGCACCTGCCCCATGTGCTGCCTGTGGTTTCTCTTGTGCCCCTCACTGTAGCCCTCTATCCCAGTAAGTCCCATGGAACTTCAGATCCATTCTTGCCCTAAGCTCCAAGGTACCTGGATAACCTTAGCTCCTCACTTATCAGAGGAAATAAGATGCTTACCATTACCAGCCATGCCTGGTGGTTTTGTTTGCTTGCTGATTCTCACCCCACCCCACTCCAAGTAGATCCACAAGCAGTGATTTAACATTTCCCCAATCTGGGGTTGGGGCTAGAAGTGCTTACAGGTGTGCCAACTAAGCAAAGATTCTGGGATGCTGCTCCTCCCAGGTAAGGCCTGGACTGGGGCTCTTATCCACATCTCAACCAGTCTTGGTACTTTTTAACAAGCTGACATTCTCTAAGGTCACATTCCACCTCTCTCCCACATGCCGTGTCACAGAGCTGTCAGCTACACAGGGAATTAGACTGCTTCTCACAAGGGCTCAGGCAGGCAATGGCTAGCAAGGCCATATAGCCAACAGGGGAAAAGATAGGATCTGAATCCAGGCCCTTCTGTGGTTATTTCAAAGACAGAGACACAGGTTAGCAGAGGTTCATGATGTGCTGAGCATCACAGTTTCATGATTTAGACAACCACATTTCCCCATACCCAGCCCAGTGTCTGACCAGAGCAGCTGGAGGAATGAAGGCACAGATGCATAGACTAAACAGATCAGCCAGGCATTAGGAATGCAGCCTAAAGGGAAAGGTCAGATGTGATGATTCACAGACCTAGTGGCCACTTTAGAACTAGCCCTGGGCTTCAGCAGAAGGGTAGGTGGCATTGCCCTGGTCTCAGTGGAGCCACCAAAGACGACAGACACGCCACTGCTATTTCCTCCTGAAGGACCCTTCTCTAGTACCCAACTTTTCTTCTTCCACCGCCCCTCACTGGCACATCCAGTCTTGCTTTTTTGGGTGGCCTTCCAAGAAGTATGGGGAAGGGCTCCTGTGGGTCTTCCCACTGGCCAATCTCTAGCTAGACTCCAGAGTCGTGCACTTTCTAGTTGTATGAGCTCAGTGAACATGTGGGGGAGTGAATGGATGAATAAAGAGGTGAGTTATTGGAGATGCTGAGACCAAGTTCTGATCCTCAAATGCTTAGACAATTTTCACACACTTAGTTACCATCTAAATGTCTCTGAAGGGCCTACTACAAGGTACAGGGTGGCAGGCACTGGGGTCAGCAACAGGTCCTTTGGGATCACTTAGCCATTCTGCACATATTTTCAAACTTACCCTCCACAGCTCTGTTAGGATCTTATCCCTACTCCACAATACACTCATACACAGAAAATGGAAGGTGCCATCTAGGAAGTGGGTGTATAGTTGAATAAGATGATTTGGCATGTACTGTGTGATACACACACACACACACACACACACACAAATCAACAAATTTTAAAAAATGTATTATATTTCAGGAGGAAGCATGGAAATTTACATCATGTTAATTAGTAGAGGTGATAAACATTACCATTGAAATCTACCCGATGATTTTATAGACATACACAGGCACCAAGGATCCAAGTGCAACCGATTATGACTAGTAATAAACAGATGCATACAGATTAGAGATGCATGCACCAACATCTCAGTGTTCGTAGCAAAAACAATGAGTCTTTCTGCAAGGAACAATATATTCTTAAATGAAATGGAGATCTTTTTAAAGGTTAAAAAGTCATTCAATTTTATGTCTTACAGGCCTTATATTGAGTTCAATATTGTATAACTGTATTAATTCAACTGTGAACGTAGAAACTTACAGCCACTTATGAAAGAGATGTACTCTTGCTCTGGAGTGTGTTACTGAAATATTTTTTCTTGTAATGAAATGTTTCTTCTAATTAAAAAAAAAAGTTGAAAAATTTGATAGAGAAACATTAGTGTTAAAATCTATTCAATTAAATCATAAAATCAAAAAATAAGAAATATATACATGTATGAAAATGCAAGGTAAATTTTATATGAAGAATAGATACTAATGAAAAAATAAATACAAAATTAATAAAAACTAGAACTTTTATAAGGCAGAAAGATAAAATTACAAGAAAAAATATTTAGAAAAGTATTTGGAATAGTGAAAAGACAAAAAGATTTTAAAAATACCAACAAATACACCTCTACTGGAAGAGAGAAGAATCTAATTTTAAATATTTTATTTATTATTTTTTATTTTATGTGTATGTGCATATTGCCTACATGTAGGTAAGTGAACCCATGTCGTGCAATGCCCACGGAGGTCAGATGAGGCTGTCAGATCCCCTGGGACTGGAGTTACAGACAGTTGTTAGCTGCCATGTGGATGCTGGGATTCAAACCCAGGTCTTCTGCAAGAACAACCAGTGTTCTTAGCTACTGAGCCATCTCTCCAGCCCCAATATATTTTATTTATTATTTTTATTTTATGTGTATGAGTGTATTGCTTGCATTTTCTTCTTCCACCGCCCCTCACTGGCACATCCAGTCTTGCTTTTTTGGGTGGCCTTCCAAGAGGTATGGGGAAGGGCTCCTGTGGGTCTTCCCACTGGCCAATCTCTAGCTAGACTCCAGAGTCGTGCACTTTCTAGTTGTATGAGCTCAGTGAACATGTGGGGGAGTGAATGGATGAATAAAGAGGTGAGTTATTGGAGATGCTGAGACCAAGTTCTGATCCTCAAATGCTTAGACAATTTTCACACACTTAGTTACCATCTAAATGTCTCTGAAGGGCCTACTACAAGGTACAGGGTGGCAGGCACTGGGGTCAGCAACAGGTCCTTTGGGATCACTTAGCCATTCTGCACATATTTTCAAACTTACCCTCCACAGCTCTGTTAGGATCTTATCCCTACTCCATTCAACAACTTTTAATGTCTCCCACTGCCTACTGAGAAAATGGTCAAATATTTGTGCTGACAACAAAGACCTTTTAAGTGCTCCCTGAAGCCTATGCTCTCAACCTCACCACCTATCCTCACTCCTCGTTCCCTTCCATTTCCTACTTTATGGTCCACCCCTGCATGAGACACACTACTAAGTTGTGATTATAAGCCAATCCAAGACTTGGACTGTAAGCAGTAGTCATTCATTCTCACTTGCATATCTGTGCATCAGCAGGGGCTGGGCTCAAGTCATGTGCCCTTTGGCCTTGGCTTGTCCATGTGGGTTGGGCTCAGAGTTATTGTATTGATTCTGTGACCCAGGCTGATGGGTCAGAAGCTGTGTGGGGAAATCTCTGCTCCTGGTGATAGAAAAGGCATGAGAGGATGAGCCCAACTGAGTATGCATATCTATTCATCTAAGGTTCTAGCTGTTAATATTTGGCCAAAGCAAGTCACACGGCAGAGCCCAATATCAAAGTGCAAGGGAATACAGTTTGCTTATCAAGGAGCTGAAGTAAATTAAGTGGTCAAAGCCTACATCTTTGGAGCTGGGTAAATATTTGTGACCAATAATAGAATCTAACACATTATCTCAGCCTAATGCAATTGGCTAGCAGTGATGAAAGAAGTCACCAGTCTTGGAATGGAAGGGATGGTCTGTATCACGGCTACATATCCTACCTGCTGAGTATCCTAGACACAGGATACTCTCCAAGTACTTTAGCATATATGTACTAAGAATCTCTGTGTAGGAATGTTATGCCAGACTCTAGGCCAGGCTAGTGAACAAAGCAGCCACTATGTGCCTGCTCTCCTGGTCATACAATAAACTTTTTTTTTTTTTTAAGATCTCCATTTCTTTTTTAATTTTTAAAAAAATTTTATTTATTATTTTTATTTTATGTGTATTGCTTGCACATAGGTAAGTACACTCATGTTGTGCAATGCCTGCAGAAGAAACCCGGGTCTTCTGCAAGAACAACCAGTGTTCTTAACCACTGTGCCATCTCTCAAGCCCCCACAATAAAATCTTAATACTATGAATGTCAGCTCTCCAAGCAACACAAGAAAATCCATGGGAAGATAAGTACAGTATCACATTGGAAGTGAACTTTCACCAATCTCAGTCCTTAAATAATGACTCCTTGTAGTGCAATGCCATTCCCAAACCATGAAGAGGTCTCCCTTGTGTAACAGAGGCCTGTCCAGCCTAAGCCCCCACAATAAAATCTTAATACTATGAATGTCAGCTCTCCAAGCAACACAAGAAAATCCATGGGAAGATAAGTACAGTATCACATTGGAAGTGAACTTTCACCAATCTCAGTCCTTAAATAATGACTCCTTGTAGTGCAATGCCATTCCCAAACCATGAAGAGGTCTCCCTTGTGTAACAGAGGCCTGTCCAGCCTAGACACCTGGCTGCCTCGCAGACACTGCATTTCAGCAGGGAGATGGGATAGACATGCTCTTCTTGATATCCCTGAGAGCACCCAGCCCAGCCACAGCACCCGACGTGCGCTGGAACAAGTCTCCAGAACCTCCACCATCACCTTCTTCACTTTCCTGGACACAGCCGTAAACAGGCTTCTACCAAAGTCTTCCCAGTCATGCAGAGAGAAAAATGCAGCTAATCAAAGCAATCTAGACTTGTCTTTCCATTCCTACCACCCCCTCACCCCCATTCCAGAGCAAAACCTTCTTAAGTGATTAAATGTTATAGTAAGGATTTGACATATTTACCTTGTCAAAGATTATGCTTTTGTGGTATCTTGTGGAGAACACATAGCCCCAAGAACCGACAGTGAGATGGAGTATCAGGAGAGACCAATGACGGAAGAAAACAAAATCTCAAGATAAGTCAATAACCTGTAACCACACACAGCCGGAGCCAAGCATGCAGCGAATCAGGTCTTTCCAGCAGAAATAACACTAATTAAGTAGTTGTAAAACAAAAAAACAAAACAAAACAAAATTGTTATTATAATAAATTAGACACTGGCTGTACATTCAAACATCTTTCTTCAGGATCTGGTTTTCACCAGTTTCTCTACACATTGGACATAACCAATGTGTGTGTTTTTGGGGGGGGGTTCCCCTGCTCATGGAAAGCACTGAAGCCCAGTCTGCACTGAAGGACCTTTAGGCACCGGTTAAAAAAGAAAAAAAAAAACAAAACAAAACTACTTTCCAATCACTTGCCTATTCAACAATTAGTTTTTCAGCACTGGTTTGGATGGAATGTGTGTCCAGCTTAAATTCTTGTGTTGAAATCCTAACTCTCAATGTGATGGTGTTTGGAGGCGGGGCCTCTGGGAGGTGATTAGGTCATAGGGGTGAATGATTATAAAAGAGGCCCCAGAGAGCTAACTAGCCCTGCTCTCTGCCACATAAGGATATGAGAAGACAACAGTCTCTAACCAGAAGAGAGTCCTGACACTTTGATCTTAAACTTCCAGGCTCCAGGACTGTGAGTAGTAAGTATGTGCTGCTGGTAAGCCACAGGGTCTTTGGTACTTTGTGATTCAGAAGCCCAAATAAAGCATCTCTTCTGACCCCCATGCTGCTGGATAAGCTGCCCATTTGCATCTCCAAGCCTCTCTCCAGTTCCCTAAAGGAAACTCTGGTCTCTTCAACGACCTTCAAGTTGATAGTTCTGTTTCATCTCATCTGGGAGCCATATCTCTGAAGACATGTGCCTTCTGTCCTGAGGATGCCTGCACTTCTATGGCTGTGCACTCTTTGCTGGTCAGGCATGCTTTCTGCTCTTTAACCTCCTTGATGCCTTATGTATCCATGTAGAGAAGGGTCAGGGCTCCTGCCTAAGAGAGCACAATACAGTGATTGGTAGTCAGTAATGCTTGTTGGTAGAATTTACTGTGGGCATATATCAACACAAACCAATATACTTACTAAAAAGAAATTCCTGTGTGCTGGCTCTAGGAGAGGCCAGAAGTTGTCATGCCTAGTGCCGAGCACACAGGGCCTGAGCCCAACAAAGGGCAGTTCCAGCAGCCAAGCCCCTTGGTAACTGGTATGTTCTTTACCAGAATCCAGGAGCACCCACCATGGACATTTCACCTTTGCAGCTCATGCTTCAATAGTGTAGACCATTGAGAAAGGTGGCACATGAGTCAACACAGAGGAAACTAGTCTAATCCATTCAGGCATGTGATGTAAGTCAAAGGCACTGCTAATGATGTTGTGACACTACCAACAAATGGGATTCTAGTGGAACTTCTTAAAAGAAATCACACCACTGGCTGCATACTTTTATCTTCTAATCCTGCTCCTCTTCCTGAATTTTAGCCAGTGTCACCACTGTGGACAAAACATGCCAGCACTATACCAGTTTTTCAGTGTTTCTACAAGCTACCCACCAGGTGTACTGCCAGTTCCACCTCCAAGACAAAGCCAGATCTCCTGACCTGCTTTCCAGATCTGAGTCACTATCATCCCTTACCTGGACTATTCCATAGTCCGGGATGCACTTTGGTCTCCCAGCTTCCTCCACTTTGACTCCCAGAAGAGCCCACCAGGCTTTTTAAAAATATAAAATAAATAAATAATGAGATCATCCTTGCTTCAAATCAATGGTTTTCACCACCACTGGAATAAAACCTCAATGCCCTTTCCCATGCAGGACAGGCCCAGTGAAGTCTCATGAATGTCCCCTTTACTCCACATCTTGGCACTAGCCTGTGCACATGTGGTTCTACACCTACCCTTTTTGTTTCTCAAAAAAGCTCCAGGACCTTGGGCCTTTGCTATTCACGCTGTGCAACTATTTCTTTCTTCATTGTTAAACTCTCACTAGAGAAAAAGGTCTATGGAGAAGGCTCTTGGTTTGTTCTTTTGCTCTATCTTCAGCATCTGTCACAATGCCTGGTACACAGTGAACACTGGAATCACATTTAGTGAAATAGTAGAACTTCCCTGTCCTCAGGGATGGGCTTCTCACAGTAACTGCTTTCCAAAGTGAACAGGGTTGAAAGATGGAGGAGAATCTCACCTTACAAAGTAGCTCACGCAGCAGACCAAGGCTAACTTCACTAGTGTATACACTCACTGTCATGTGATGACAGCACATCACATGTGGTCCTCCTCCTCCAAACACATAATTTCAGTCTAATTGTGAGGGGGAAACATCAGATAAATCTCACCTGAAGGATAAATATCTGAGCAATATTCAAACCTACCAAGGTCATCTCAGGCTATCAAGGAAAGTCTGAGAAAATGTCAGAGTCAACTGGAGTTTAAAGAGATGAGAATGATGAGTTACGGTACCCAAGATGAGATCAAGGAACAGTCAAAAGAAAAGAGGAAGATTAAGGAAATGCAAGTGAGGTATGGTGTTTAGATAATCACGATGTATCAGTATTGGCTCATTAACTGTGACAAATGTACCCTATTACATAAGATGCTAATGATGGGGGAAGTGGATGTAGGGAACGCTCAGTCCTGCCCTCATAATAATACTGCAAATCAAAACTGTTCCCCAGTCAATGGTTTATTTCCAAAATACATTTGTTCAGTGAATAAATGTACAGCAATAAACATGGCACAGATATTCTGGTGTGTTCTATGAGGGTTTTTTAAGCTCCCAAAGTCTGTTAAGCATTGCCTGGGGCAGACAGTTTGCATCATTTCTTTTTTAACAACACATTTGAACTGCTGTAAAGGGAGCATCAGCCCATCTTAACCGACCTGCTAGTGGTTAAATGAGGATAGTTTGGGTCAATGGCAAAAATAACAAAGTCTGCCCTCCTTGACAATGAGTCACAGTTTCCCTTACTCTTAAGCCCATCCAGCCTCACATGTGCCACTGAGGGACTACTGTGCATCTGAGCCCAAGCTTGGCTTCTTAGCCAGCTTCTGTCCTACATGAGCAAACAAAAGACTCACTTCTGGGGTCAAATGTTGCAGCACGGACCACAAATAGCACAGGTGTTCAGAGAAGACCAATTGTGGGAGTGGGGGCAGTCAAGAAATACCTCCTGCAGGAAGGGCCAGCCTTGGAAACAGGATCTGCAGAGATAAGAGTGAGGGGAAGGACATTCCAGGGAGCCCAGAGTCCAGGCTGCAGGGAGCAGTCTAAGTAGAGCTTTGGGGTCTCATAGAGGGGCAGGGGAAGAGGAAGCTGGTCAAGTGGATTTAAGCCAGTGTGTACAGGCCAGACCAGACCAGAAAAGGCCTTCAGACCTCAAGGTGTTTCTGCTTCGTTCTTTTCCATATGTTGCCTACATTCTTTTTTCTCCCCTACTCACCCGAAAGCCTCCCAGGGCAAGATGCTTTCTGCCTTGTCTCAGCCTGAGCTACAGGGCCTTGCACATAAATAAGGGTTCAAAGAAACTGATAGTGCATAAAGACAAGAAAGAATTTAATAAATAAACTGTAATCAAGGAGCTGGGACTTAAACTTTCACACAAGAGGGTGGTCTTTGAGGCTTGCAGAAAGACCCACAATCATGTTTCCTCCACAATCTCTCCCACGCCACCCCTGCTTTGCTGCCTTCACTTTCCTTTGCAGATTTCTTACTAATCATTTGTGTACTTACTTCCTGTCTGTCACCTTTCAGTCATTCAGCAAACATTAACGGATTACCTGCTATATCCCTGGCATGTCTTAGGTGCTAAGGATTTGGAAAACAGGGACAAAAATCTGCACTCATGGAGTTGATAGTGTCGTGATGGGGGAGAGAAGCACTGTACAGGTAAAGGATACAGGTTGTCAAGGGGAACAGGAACTGTGGAAGAAAAAAGGAAGTTCAAAGTAGTGCATCGTGCAGCAGGCACAAAAGAATTAGTGATGAGGGTATTGTCCAGGTTAATCCAGTTCTCATTTTTCCCTCTCTCCCCCCACCCCTGCCTTTGTCTTTTCTTTCAGTGCTATGGATCAAATCCAGGACTTAGGGCATGTTAGGTAAGCAATCTACCACTAAGATCCATCCCCAGCTCTAATCCATTTCTTTTAATTAAACTTTTCATTTTGAGATAATTGCAGGCTCATATACAGTTAGAAGAAATGTTGTCCTTTATCTAGTTTCCCCCAGTGGTGACGTCTTACATAACTCTGGCACAATATCAAAACAGGAAATGGATACTGATACAATCCAATAATGTGGTTCAGGTTTCATCAGTTTTACTGACCTTACTTAATGTACGTGAATGTGCACAGCTGACCGATTCATTCTATGCAATTTTAATGGCTACTTCCTTTGTTAAGTTAGGGAGTCAACTTGAAGAGTTGAGAGCTGGAGGAAGAGTTGAAGCAAACCACAGGTGGTCCAGCATGCCTGAGCTCCATTTACCCAGGCTACCATTTGAGAAGGCAGTCATGCTTATCCCCATTTTCCATAGGTGAAAATGCAGAGAAGGAACTTGTTGGAAATCCCCACAGCTGATGGGCAGAGAAAACAGCCCCCAACTCACAGTTATCCTTTCCTGGAGCTCTTTACTGAAGCCAAGAATGGGCAGAATGGGAAAAAACAGAGGACTCAGACACCAAAGGAAGGACAGACTCCAGGAGATACTGTAGGGGTGAGGAAATGAGGAAGGAGTCCCTGGGTATTCCTGGGATTCTGAATCAGTATCTACAGGAAGTAAAGGA